GGGTCAGTCAAAGGCACTAAGTGGCTATGGCTGAGTTTTAAATTTTATTCGAAATAATTAAGGCAATTTTAAATTGAATAATTAGTAGCAAGGGTCAGTGAGAGGTACTGGGTAGACATGAATGATTTTATTTTTTTATTTAGAAAAATCAAAGTACTTTTTAATTAAAAAATCAGAAGTAAAGGTTAGTTAGAGGTACTGGGTGGTCATTAATGAATTGTTAATTTTTATTTGGAATAATTGAATCAATTTTTAACAAAAAAATTAGTGGTTGGGGTCAGTCAGAGGCACAAAGTGGCTATGACTAAGTTTTAAATTTTATTTGGAATAATTAAGGCAATTTTAAATTGAAAAATTAGTAGCAAGGGTCAGTAAGAGCTACTGAGTGGTCATGAATGACTTTTTAATTTTTATTTGGAATAATTAAATCAGTTTTTAATAAAAAAATTAGTGGTCGGGGTCAGTCAGAGGCACTAAGTGGCTATGACTGAGTTTGAAATTTTATTTGGAATAATTGAGGCAGTTTTAAATTTAAAAATGGGTAGCAAAGGTCAGTGAGAGATCAGTCTTCAGGTCTGATCAGATATGAAAAATGACCAGGTCTGATCAGACCTGGCCAGGCATGTTCATGTCTCATCAGATCTGTTCATGCCTGACTCGATTAGGTCCATAAAAAAAAAAAAAGATTGTTGCCGACGGGGATTCGAACTATGTACGTTGCGCTCTTCAGACTGATACTTTACCTATTGACCCAATGACTTATCTTAATTCTAGTGTACCTTTCAAACTACTTTAAGTAATTTAAATTTTATACATGACTTATCCTTATAGTTAACGGAGTTCTATACTTAATTTATTAATTATTAATAATTAATTATACACGTTAAAAAATTTCGCTTCATAGCGTAAAAAAATTTGGTGTTAAAAATTTTTATGTTAAATATTCAACACTTTTTTGTGTTGATTTAACAGAATAAATGTTAAATTTACACATAAAAGTGTTAAATATTTAACACAAAAATTTTTAACACTAAGATTTTTGACGCAATGACGCAAAATTTTTTACTGTGTATATTAGAGTGATTTATTTGGGACGGCTATGTATTTTTTTCGCTTCTTTAACATATGGTTCTATGTAAAGTAAAAAAAAACAATTTCTTCGAGGTTTATTCCGTAATTATAATTTTATTGTTTTCTTCAAAAATTGAAGTTTTTTTAATAAAAACGTATAGGAAATGAAGAATTATTTGTGTGTTCTACAATTTAACAGCCTTTGACACTACTGCAATGGACCAAGGCGTAGCTTAAGATAATAACAGCCACCTTGAAAGGACTTATCGATATCAACTGATATATTTTGGTATTTTAACCCTATCAAACTCAAACTTTTACTGAATAATCTTATTCTTCGCATATTCAATGGAACACAGGAAAAAATTTTGTCATTGCGTCAAAATTCATCGTTAAAAATCATCGTTTTGGCATGGAAAATTGAAAAGTTCATGCTTATATAAGCCGAAATTTTTGATGAAAGTTGTACATTTAAAATTTATAAGGGGATAGAAACTGATACGTCATACGGAACGAATTAATTTTAAAAATAGAACTGCAGTTTATAGTTCGATAAAATTTTTCTTCCAGAGTTAAAATATCATTTAAGAGGGCAAATCATGCATGAACAGTTCTTGTCAGCTGATATATGGAGTTTTAATCCTTTTCTATTCGGCTAGAACAGACATGATCAGACATGGACAGGTCTGATCAGGTCTGAGCGTATTTAACGCTTCAGGCATGAACAGGCTTGATCAGATCTGATCAGGTCTGAGCGTATTTAATGCTTCAGACATGAACAGACATGAGCAGGCATGAACAGGCTTGATCAGGTCTGAGGGTGGTTAATGCTTCAGACATGAACAGGCATGGACAGGCTTGATCAGATCTGATCAGGTCTGAGCGTATTTAATGCTTCAGACATGAACAGGCATGAACAGACATGAGCAGGCATGAGCAGGCATGAACAGGCTTGATCAGGTCTGATCAGGTCTGAGCGTATTTAACACTCTCGTTGCTCGGCGACGTAGCTGATGGCATATTTTGCGAAGTTCTGCTATGTCTGCTGACCACCAATACGCCGGCCTGTGGAATCTCTGATTTTTCAGCCGCGGCATAGAGGCATCACATGCGGCAGCAATTTCCTTCATCGTATTTAGCACTGTCTTTTCCGTCTCGCTGCACGTATCCGGAGTCGTGTTGTTCTGAAGAATAGACCAGCTTCGTGCAAGCGAAGCTTTCAATGCCTCTGGATCAAGTCTTTTGGCATTCCACTTCCGCTTAGAAACGTCGCGTTGTGAAACCGGAGCAAATGCCAATCCGACGCTGAATGTCATGAACTGGTGATCACTGCCACTGTATTCTTCGGATACTACCCAGTCTTCGATCATGTTGGCAGTCCTTGGAGTCGCCAAAGAGATGTCGAGGATGGATTCTTGGTACCCTGGTCGTCTAAAGGTTGTTGTGCTCCCGATGTTCAGCACTATGAGGTCGAGTCTAGCCGCGACGTCAGCGACCTCGTTTCCTCTGGTATCGGAGAAAGCAGCGCCCCACTCAGCTGATTTAGCGTTGAAGTCTCCGGCTACGATAACTTGTCACACGAATTTTATTCGTGTGTGCGTCCCTCTCTGCGCCTAGAGTTGGCAACAGATCCACACTCGGTGTATCCCATAGTTTTACTATTTTTGGTTAATATTATTAATTTATATGTTATATATATTTATTATTGCTTATATTTGACAATCTATGTATTACTATTATTGCTAGCATTTAAGTATTAATTTTGACCTTATTTCAGAAATTGTTTTTAACTGTTTATAATTTTGTTTTATTGCTATTATTGATTATTGGTAAATAGTCGTAGCCCTTGCTCGCATGGGTAATTCCCTAAAGTATCGATTGCGAGCACAGGGATCAGTAATTTTTCCAAACGACTTGAGAGGCCCTCGTGATCGGACACGAGGTCTCGTAGCTTTGAGGAAAATGAAAATGGGGAGACACGCGGCAACCCGCAAAGTGTAAGAGTGTGGATCTGGCACCTTTGATCGAGTTCCCTTTTTTTGGTGAGTACTCACAAGTTAAGCTATTTTATTAACCACGCACCGTGCTGTCTCCCGGCGAACAGATTAGTATTTGAAGCCAGTATTAATTATTCGAGCCAGCCAGTATTATTTATTTATTTTGTTTTGTCGAGATAACCCGACTGGGGATTTCGGGTATATCTCACTTCAATAATATTTAGATACAATTTCTAATTTATAACCAGCGTCGTCGTAATTTAATAATATGCTCAGGATTTACATTAATTATTGATAATTGTACGCGACAAATTTATTATTATTGTTATTTTATATAGTTCACCCGGCAAAGGAATTCGGCTCTGAACTTAGCTTAATTATTTTGTGTTTTGAATAAATAGCTTATTTTTTATATATATTGCGACTGATTATTAAGAATTTGTTTTTATAAATTACTTTCTCCTTTCTTTCCTAATATTCGTACGCTCGTTATCTATCCCCTTGAATACCTGTGGATCGACCCTGGAATTAAAGGGTTTGTTGTTTCCCAAGCGAAAGAACAACTGGCGTCCAAGAAAATCGTGCACTAACCCAGCCTGGGGAAGAGCTGCTGGTTGCTTGGGAGGCGAAGAGTTCCCTCCCAAGTCCATTTTTTGTTTGTTTAGTTTTGTATTGGGCGACCTGGACAATATTACGTATCCACTGATTGCTCCACTGTCAGCTGGAGCGTAATTTTTGTTACATGGTGCCCAACGTGGGGCCAGGGCGTTAGAGATTTAATTGATTGATCCATCTGCAGCGTATTGTGGAGACGGGGATTAGATAATTACTATTAGGAAAAGAAAGTTGAGTTAGAAAGAGAGCGTCAAGTACTCGACCAGCGAAGGAAATTCCGAAGCAGTGACATCATCGGCTTACTTGTCACTGCATCGAGTTATTGGTGATTCCCTTTCGCACTCTTCGTTCAAATTTGAGCGTTGCTATTAGTATTATTTGTTTAAAATAAAATTTAATCCCTCGAATTTTAAAATTCAAATTCATTTGTTTGATTTCGCCCTTGATAAATTTCTAATTATCAACGCGAGTTAGGAAATTTTCATTAGATTAATTATTTAAGTCGACTAAAATTTGAATTTTTTTAGCAAATAAATGAATTTGTTCCAAAAAATTATTTTTAAAAAATTGCATTTTTAATTTTTTTAAATTTCTAAATGTCAATTTTTTTTACCATAATTTACTTGTTAAAAAAATTCTTAAAATTATCAAATATCTGCTAAATTATATTATAAAATTAACATTTAACATACATTTAAGTCCTTTACTTTAAGAAACATTCAAATGTATTTTTACCTTTCGTTTACAATGTGAGGTTAGGACGTGTAATTTTTTTTTTATTTCTCAAACACTAATATTCGCCCTAAAAATAATAAATTTTGTTTATAGTTTTTTTTTATTTTCTTTATTTGTATAATTTTTTTGTTACCATACGATTGAAAGGATTTTTTAAAACACTTTATAGAGTAAGATCCCAGACCAATAAGACACAACTTATTTTCTAAAGCATAGAACTTTCGGTTCTAAGTAGTCTCTCGTGTACTTTTTAATACCTGTACGCTTGTGGAGTTAGCTCGGTGATACCTGTGCAGGTACCAGGTGAGAAAGGTAACTAAAAATCAGAGTTACTTAAGTTAAATTTTAATGACTGATTTTTATATATATTTTGTAGAATATTACTCTGAAGTAATATCAAAAAAGTCAGACGCTTTCCATGCGCTAGAACTTTTGTCAGACGCTTTAAAGCTCTACAAAAAATAAATGAACTTAATTTATTTTTAAATGTCTGATTTTTAGATATGTTATTCAAATAAATATTACAAAGTTATATTTAATCAGTCAGACAAATTGTAATGACCAAACATCCCCTAAACACAAAAATTACTCAACTATGTGTATGAGCGCGAGAGCACTATACATGCGTTTCAGAGCGAGTGAGACATCCATGGTAACTCGGTTCCCCTTCTTAAATTCACAATCTGTTTCAGTCTACTGTTTGTGTATGTGTATACGCCAGGTGCACACACTGTATAGTATACAGTACAGTTATATATTCGGGTTTATGAGACCACATGTTTTTGTTAGTTATATCGTGTGATTTGTGAGTGATATCAAGTTATTTTCATTAGACAATATGGAAGAATCCTCGGAAGCATCTTTAAAATGTACATTTTTTAAAAAATCTCATGATAAATTAATATTATTTTCAAAAGAGACGTTTAAAAAGTGCCAAAATATTTTAAAACAAAGAACAATCCATAACCTAAAATTCAGAGACGTAGTTTCACCGGATGATTTGTACGACAGTGGTTACCATCGTGAATGTTACAAATGTTTTACTGCTTTGCCGAAAAAATGTTACTCTCCAATCTCAGAAAAACAAAAAAATGATCCAAAAAAAAATTCATCGGGTATTGTTGAACATCAATCTGTAGCGTCGACATCAAGCTCATCAAGTATTGATATCACTAACAATGATATATGTACAGCATCTACCTCAAGTCAACTAACTGATTTTCGAGCTCCGGATTCTGCTATAGCATCAAACTTAAGTTCAGCTAGTACTGTACCTGAACCCATTGTAATACCTGATAACTAAAATTATTTATCATGTTTGTAATATAGATGCTCAAGCAAATTTTGTTATACGGTATTCCGATACTGATATTGCAATAATAATGTTGAGACATATGCATAATTTGAAGAACTATGATTCGAATGTGTGGTTATACACAGGTACTGGAAATAACCAAAGATACCTTGATTTAACCAAAATTTACGAGCATTTGGGACCGTCTTTGTGTAGAAGTTTGCCAGGATTTCATGCATTGACTGGATGTGACTTCAATCCCGCCTTTTTTAAGAAAGGCCATTTAATATAATGATGAAGAAACATGAATATCAGCGAGCTTTTATGCGATTCGGAGATCCAGAGTCGTTCACCGATGGAAACTTATAACAAGATATTTTCAACCAAATACAAAAATTTATCTGCGAAATTTATAATGTTTCTGGTATTATTGACGTTGATGCTGCCCGGCTTCAGCTGTTTTTAAATAATTACACTGTTTCTGATATTAACGAAGAATTTAATCCAAAAAATTTAAAAAATTTCGATGCAAGCAATTTACCACCATGCAAAACTGAGTTATTTCAACAATTTCTCCGAGCTAATTATATTACCAGCATATGGAATAATGCAAATGAAAAACGACCGTCTACTTTTACTCCTGAAAACAATGGATGGACGTTTGAAGATAACCAGTATCATTTTTATTGGTTTGATGGTGACCAATTACCAGGACTCGTTAGCGAATCACTTCAAGAATCAGGTACCGTACTTTGATTTCTAGTTTACAATTTATTATATTTGTCGTTCTATGTTTTTTAATTTTTTGTCTTTTTGTTTTTACAGAAGACGCTACCAGCAACAACAATATAACTAGTGATGATGAGGATGATGACTTGAGTGGACAGTATCGTGATGTACTTAATGATGAAAATTCAAATGATTATTATGACGATGATGAAGATGGTTAAGAGACAATCAAAGTATTTCATTGATTCATCATAATTAATTATTTTTTATACTAAAATTATTACAATTGATATCTTTTTTAAAATAAAATAAAAATGATTCTTTTTGAAAGACAATTGCTCTGAAAAAAATTCATTTTTCCCTATATATCTGTAATATATATAATTACTTTTAAAATGATTATTATTGTGATTAAAAATTTTATCTTATTTAAATAGATATGCAAAAATATAAAATTGAAAGCAGTAAGTATTTTTCAAATATTAAGGTATTTTACTCTGAGGCGCATGCGCATAGTGCTCTCGCGCTCATACTCATAGTTGAGTAATTTTTGTGTTTAGGGGATGTTTGGTCATTACAATTTGTCTGACTGATTAAATATAACTTTGTAATATTTATTTGAATAACATATCTAAAAATCAGACATTTAAAAATAAATTAAGTTCATTTATTTTTTGTAGAGCTTTAAAGCGTCTGACAAAAGTTCTGGCGCATGGAAAGCGTCTGACTTTTTTGATATTACTTCAGAGTAATATTCTACAAAATATATATAAAAATCAGTCATTAAAATTTAACTTAAGTAACTCTGATTTTTAGTTACCTTTCTCACCTGGTACCTACGCAGGTGTCACCGAGCCAACTCCACAAGCGTACAGGTATTAAAAAGTACACGAGAGACTACTTAGAACCGAAAGTTCTATGCTTTAGAAAATAAGTTGTGTCTTATCGGTCTGGGATCTTGGACTATTAGAATATTCATTTAACATTGAGTTAGACAGTTCAAGTACTGCAGTCACGTAAAAATGAGAGACGGTATACTTGAACACACGGCGCTATGTCGTTCAACTTTTGGGTCCTACATTTGAAATTAGGAGGTATACCTGAACAGCTAAATTAAATATAAAAAAATTATTAAAACTCATCATTAACAACAGAATATTTTGCAAAATGATCTATATTTTTGATTGGTTAAGTTTTTTTTGATGAATTCTCAAATATTTTGGGTTATTTCGCCATTTTTCTATTGTTGTGGTATCATTTTCATTCAAAAATGGATACTAATCGACACTTTCAATGATCCCGTCATTAGATATTAAATAAAATATAATATTTAGCTTTGACATTAAAAAATATTTCTTGTATCATTAACTAAGACATCAAGTTATCTTAATATACATTAAATATTAATGTTTACTGCCGGAGTATTTTAATAATATAAGAATTTCCAAACTGTTCAAGTACGAGGGCCATTTTTAAAATTGTTCAAGTACTGGGTACTTTACCTAAAAATATTAATTTTTTTTCAAAATTTGATTTTTTTTAATTTCAATTTTTTTTTTTAATTTTTTTGACCAGACATGATCAGACATGAAAAATGACCGGGTCTGATCAGACCTGGCCAGGCATGTTCATGTCTGATCAGATCTGTTCATGCCTGACTCGATTAGGTCCATAAAAAAAAAAAAAGATTGGTGCCGACGGGAATTCGAACCATGTACGTTGCACTCTTCACACTGATACTTTACCTATTGACCCAATGACTTATCTTGATTCTAGTGTACCTTTCAAACTACTTTAAGTAATTTAAATTTTATACATGACTTATCCTTATAGTTAAAGGAGTTCTATACTTAATTTATTAATTAATTAATAATAATTAATTATACAAAGTAAAAAATTTCGCGTCATAGCGTCAAACAATTTTGTGTTATTTAACACTTTTTTATGTTGATTTAACAGAATAAATGTTAAATTTACACATAAAAGTGTTAAATATTTAACACAAAAATTTTTAACACTAAGATTTTTGACGCAATGACGCAAAATTTTTTACTGTGTATATTAGAGTGATTTATTTGGAACAGCTATATATTTTATTCGCTCCATTAACATATGGTTCTATGTAAAGTAAAAAAAACAATTTCTTCAAGGTTTATTCCGTAATTATAATTTCATTGTTTTCTTTAAAAATTGAAGTTTTTTTAATAAAAAGGTATAGGAAATGAACAATTATTTGTGTGTTCTACAATTTAAAAGCCTTTGACACTACTGCAATGGACCAAGGTGTAGCTTAAGTTATCTTTCATGTTTGCTATTGTCTTTTGCTATTGTCTAAAGATCTTTAAGTCTGCTATTATTAGCAGACACCTTGAAAGGACTTATCGATATCAACTGACATATTTTGGTATATTTTAACGCTATCAAACTCAAACTTTTACTAAATAATCTTATTTTTCGCGTATTCAATGGAACACAGTAAAAAATTTTATGTCATTGCGTCAAAATTCATCGTTAAAAATCATCGTTTTTGCATGGAAAATTAAAAAGTTCATGCTTATATAAGCCGAAATTTTTAATGAAAGTTTTACATTTAAAATTTATAAGGGGATAGAAACTGATACGTCATACGGAACAAATTGATTTTAAAAATAGAACTGCAGTCTATAGTTCGATGAAATTTTTCTTCCAGATTTAAAATATCATTTAAGAGGGCAAATCATGCATGAACAGTTCTTGTCAGCTGATATATGGAGTTTTAATCCTTTTCTATTAGGCTAGAACAGACATGATCAGACATGGACCGGTCTGATCAGGTCTGAGCGTATTTAACGCTTCAGACATGAACAGGCATGGACAGGTCTGATCAGGTCTGAGCATATTTAATGCTTCAGACATGAACAGACATGAGCAGGCATGAACAGGCTTGATCAGATCTGATCAAGTCTGAGCGTATTTAATGCTTCAAACATGAACAGACATGAGCAGGCATGAACAGGCTTGATCAGGTCAGAGCGTATTTAATGCTTCAGACATGAACAGGTATGAACAGGCTTGATCAGGTCTGATCAGGCCTGAGCGTATTTAATGCTTCAGACATGAACAGGCATGAACAGGCTTGATCAGGTCTGAGCGTATTTGATGCTTCAGACATGAACAGGCATGAACAGACATGAGCAGGCATGAGCAGGCTTGATCAGGTCTGATCAGGTCTGAGCGTATTTAACACTTCAGACATGAACAGACATGAACAGGCATGAACAGACATGGACAGGTCTGATCAGGCCTGATCATACCTGAATAGGCCTGATCAGGTCGGATTTCAGGTCTGATCAGATATGAACAGGTCTGATCAGTCCTGAACATTTTTTCCCGGGAGGTTTTTCTGAAATTAATAAAGTATTTTAATATCCAATAAGCAAACTACATCTGAATGAGTATGCTCGTTAAATACTCTTACTTACGTAATAACTGACGAGTATTATCAATTTCTTTGCACACGCGTAAATGATATTTTCTATCTGTTCTTTGGTCAGATAAAAACTTTAACGCTTCACTATCAGCTATGTCTTGAACGTTTCCGTGTGCGATGTCAAATAATGTTTCAAGAAACTCAGAAAACTCGCGTTTTACTGTTGGATTTGGATTTTTTTGTAAGTTTCTATACTTATCATACAGTTTTTCGACTTTTTTACACATCTTGAAACAATTTGTATTTTAATTCCAGCTCTAGACCAAAATTTAGTAACTTCTCTAATAACAAATTGATAACTTGCTGTAAGTGTTTTTTTTGCTTCTCTTGTTTGATAAAATAACAATTGTAGTACTTGTTTGTTAGTTGGTAATTTATTGCCGCTGATTGTTTCGGTTGGTTCTCCCAAAAGAAACATTGGATTTCTCAAGCTCACAGAAGTATTCATTTTTTTTTGGAAAATTATATTAAACAGTATTTTTGCTGAATGAGTTAACACTAATAAAGTTTATCAAACAAACATTTCACCGAGAGGTTATAGACTCAAAGGATATGAAGTTCTCTCACGTTACTCACAGATGGCGTTAGATTATAAAACGAATAAATTTAAAACATAATTGCTTTTAGTTTTTTCGTTCAATTGCCTTAAATTCACAAATTTTAAAAAAGAAAATTATTTAAACACTTAAATTTATGTAGAATCACGTTTATATACGGCCTATTAGAGTTACTTTATAATTTTATTGCAAACAAAAAGCGATAGTAAATAAAAAATAGGAACATGATGAATGTAACTATGAATACAACTTTATCGTTGAATAACTTTTAAACCGTAAATTTTATCGCAAAAAGCATTCAAATCTTTTTTGAAGAGCGTTAAATTTCCTACAAAAAATAGCTATCAAAGTATTTTTAGCTACATTTTTTTCGGTGGAAAAAAATTAACTGGAAAAAGTGCAAAAATCCCATGTTATTTAAATGGGAAATGTATTATGATTCAGGCACGGGTTAATGTGAATATTAAGGGCTGGTTTGGGTCGGATATTTTTTTTTTAGGTCATAACCTAAAAATTTGAGGGGCGTTCGCAGAACAAAATCCAATTTGGGAAATAACGGACACCCTAATATTGATGCAAGATAACGCATGTCCACACACAGCCAACATTACCAGGCGCTTCTTTGAGCGGCATGACATCACATTGTTGCGACACCCAGCAATGAGTCCAGATCTCAACCTCATAGAGCACGTTTGGGACATAATGGGCCGTCGGTTGCGCAGAGAGTATCCAAATTTGCAAAACTTAGCTGCTTTGGAGCGCGCGCTTCAGCACATTTGGAATACTATTCCACAGCCTCAAATTACCGCCTGCATAAACATGGCTGAACGTTTGAGAGCCGTTATTGAAAACAGGGGTGGTAATACCCGGTATTGAACCAACAAAAACCTTCAGAGAATGAGTTTGGAGTCATTAAATACGGTGGAACTGACGAGCCACCGGGTCTCAATTCTCCTGAAATACCTTACATAACGTTACACACACACACACACACACACATAGGGAATAATAAAGCGCCGGGATTGGACGGAATCCCTAATATAGCATTGAAAACCATCA